AGGGGGCGGACACTGGAAAAAGTATATAATTATATTTCGTTGAATGGGACGGTAGACATGTTTTTTTTGGGGGGGGTGGGGGGTGGGGGGGCGGTGTGTGGAGGGGGTGGTGTGTGGGGGTGAGGGGTTGGGGTGGGGGTGGTGTGTGGTGGGGGGTGGGGGTGGTGTGTGGGGGTGGGGGGTGGGGTGGGGGTGGTGTGTGGGGGGTGGGTTGGTTTTAGTTTAGAGAAAAGAGACAGCACTATCAGCCTAGCGCCCGTTGTACCCTTCCTCAACGGGCCATTTATCTAGTAACTGTATAAGGATCTTCAATTCCTAAGAGTTCAAGTTTTTTAACATATTTTTCCTTTTCCGCGGGCGCGATTCTTTACATACGGTGAACACGTCCATCGCTGGTGAACACGTCCAGCGCTGGCGAACAGCTGATTGTGTTTACGTCTGATGTACACCACTGTGGCGGCGGGCGTAGGTATCACGTGATTTAGGTCACGTGTTTGCAAGGACTCTATAGCGGCGTGTGTTACGTCGCGGGTCAGCTTGTAGTTTATAAAAGATAATCAAAGCTATTAATTATTAGGTACTTTTTGATAATAGCTATTAAACCTTTATGCACCCCCCTAGGGATGGCGCTCTAGGCAACCGCCTAGTTCACCTTATAGGTAGCACCGGCCCTGCTTCCAATCATAGTTTCTTTCAGGCATCTACCCCCCCCCCCCTCCCCGGAAAATACTATCAAGTGCCCCACCCCCTCTCCTGGAAGAAACACTGCTTCCACTATTGCTGAGTTTCAAAAATATCAATATTTCAACCTTGCCACCAAGTTGCCTATATCAATATTTTAAATAACCTGCATCAAATACCCCTATATCAATATTATAGCTCAACTCAGCCTTAAACCAAACATATCAATATTTTAATACTGCCTACTTCAAACACTTCTGTAATTGAAATCTCACAATAAACAACTCAAGTTTTATAATTAGCCGTTTTCAAAACTACTGCAATGATTAATATTTTTTTTTAAAATGGCTAATAATAACGTGAAATTGATTGAAAACAAATTTTGTTTGTGCCGTCTTATTCAAGCGATTTTATTTTTCGCGTAGTATTTTTTTAAAGCCATCTGTTCTCTGACGCGTCACTGAGTGTGTATTTGTGCTCATGCGCGCATTAAATAGTTCGTTGATTTGTTATTTTTAAGTTATACAAAATATTGAAGAAAAAATGAGTGTTTGAAGCGAGGAATGAATCAAAATTGCAACTACTCTTCACTTGGTTTGTTCGTCTTTTTCTAGCTGGTTTCTCATTGCGTAATTGTGTTCATGCGCGCATTAAATAGTTCGTTGAGTTGTTATTTTTCAAGCCATAAAAATTAATATTAAATTAAAAACAAGTTTTTGTAGCGAGGACTGAATCAAAATTGCAACTATTCTTTGCTTAGTTTGGTCGTCTGTGTCTAGCTGGTTACTCAGTGCATAATTGTACTCATGCGCGCATAAAATAGTTCTTGGTTTTTAATTAATTTATGAAAACAAAGATGTTTAAAAAAATTGGGTGTTGATAGCGAGTGATGAAACAAAAGTGCAAGCTATTATTCTCTTATTTTAGAACTGTGATCGATTCAACAGTTCAGTCGATGGGACGAAACTGTAATCGATTTGATCGTGAGTTCATCACAAATATTCACGGCTATTATAATCCATGCCCATGTTTACTTAACAGAACCATATCCAGTGCGGGGAGAGGGTGGGGGGGGGGGGGAATCTTTTCAGTGTGGTTGATGAGAGAGATAAGCTGTTATAACAAAATTGTATGAAGAGCACCATTGAATTTTCGGGTGGTTTTTTCTCTCTTCTAAATCTATATAACCAGCAGTTACAGTGGAGTCAAGATGACACATCTGGTGCAGCCGTCCTTGATAGGGTAGTCTAATTTTCCAGTAGTTTTTAGGCCTACTAAACATTGCTTGGTGTAGATTATTTTTAGTAACTCTAACGTGAGGGAAATAAAAGTGACTGTTAGAGTATTTTTTAATGAAATATTGCAATTAAATACGCGATTATATTATTCCCCCCCCCCCCCCCCCCCCCCCATCCCTATGACCTTTTTTTAGGCCCTCCGCGCGTTACTTGTGGTAAATTATTTTATAAACTCTAGCGTCACAAAAAAAAGTAGCTGTTTAAGTATTTTTTATGAAATATTACAATTAAATACACGATTACATTATTCCCGCCCCCCCCCTCCATCCCTATCACCTTTTTTTAGGCCCTCCACGCGTTACTTGGGGTTAAATTATTTTAGTAACTCTAGCGTTAGAAAAAAAGTGGCTGTATAAGTATTGTTTATGAAATATTACAATTAAATACACGATTACATTATCCCCAGAGTTTCTTCCAGGCACATCTCTTCGGGGGGGGGGGGGGGGGGGCTCGGTCACCCCCACCCCCGCCGAAGAAAGTCTACCGGCCCCCCCTCCCCCCACCGAACGAGATGTATTTTATATAGTAAGCATACACTTTTACTAGTGTCCGCCCCCTCCCCCCGAAATTTCAAGTGCCCCCCCCCCCCCCACGGAGAAAAAAAGTCTGGAAGAAACACAGATTATCCCCCTCCAATCCTTACCCCTCCCTTCCGAAGTTTATCCAGCAAATATATCACTTAGCGGCCCGTACTAAGAGACTACCACATGGAGGGGGATTATTATACCGTGTCACATGACAAAAAGACGTACCCTGGGGGGGGGATGGAACCAGCATACCATATCATCAGACGAGACGTATTTTTCGGTTTGATGAACATGACGGGTTCAGTAAATTCGACACGCACGAACGAATTTCCTGCAGGAGCCGAATCTTGGACAAGTTACAGAAAATCTGCCTCATTGAAGGGTCACTGGATAAGTTGGATCTACATAAACAATAGCTATCAACAGCATAGACTATCAACAGCATAGCTTATCAATAGCATAGCTTATCAACATAATGGATTATCAACAGAATGGCTTATCAACAGAATAGATTGGCTTATCAACAGAATTTCTTATCAACAGAATAGCTTGATTTATCAACAGAATAGCTTGATTTATCAACAGAATAGCTTGGCTTATCAACAGAATAGATTGGCTTATGAACAGCACATCTTATCAACAGAAAAGTTCACCAACAGCATAGCTTTTCAACAGCATAGGTTATCAGCAGAATGGCTTATCAACGGAATAGTTTATCAACAGAACGGCTTATCAACAGAACAGATTATCAACATAATCATTAATCAACTTAATAGCTTATCAACAGCATAAGTTATCAACAGCCAATCAACCGAATAGCGTATCAACTCAATGGTTTACCAACAGCATAGCTTATCGACTGCCAACCTGAAAGAGTTCGGATCCCGGGTTCGAGTTCTTAGAACGTTCCAGAGTCCACCCAGCTCTGATGTTTTCCCGACTCACATAAGGGAAAGTAAAGGCGTCTGGGTTTAATCCTGACCACATACATGATTTTGTCGTTTTACCTCAATATGGCGTTGTAAAAAAAGATACGTTTAATATTCTTGTTTTAGTCGCTATCTTTATTCATGCACGTGGCCCCTAAACCCCGGGGGTAGGGGTGCGTGGGGTAGATTAAAAATATACTTTCCCGTTTGATGCTATGAACTGGACATGGGGAGTACCAATCAGTCAATTAACGTCATTAGTGTTTGATACCATTAGCTCAGGTCTCCATTTCGAGGCAACAGCTGCGGCGGTATCTATTTTTAGATCGCTGATCTGTTCTCCCGTTCGTGTTTTTTTTTTATGCGCGTGTGTCTGCATTTTACTCACACTTTCAGTCAACAGTGTGGATAATTTTACTGCAGTCATCAATGTGGATAATTTGACTGCAGTCATCAATGTGGATAATTTGACTTCAGTCATTTCTTGTGTTTGAAGTCATTAATGTGGATATTTTTACTTAAGTCAATCGTTGTGTTTTGGATGTTTGCTTGAGGTAATTAATATTGACAATTTGACTTCATTAAATCTTTGAGTTTAGATGTTGGTTCATCTATTCTAAAAATTAATCTGGGTCGATTGATTAGATTGATTCGCTAAAATCGATCTCTTTAAATAGGTAGGCTTTACAATCATCATTTACGAAACCTTTTAATGTATATTTTTAATCAATTAGGCCTCCCAGAGATGGTTTTGTCTTAATTAATTAATACTAATGGGACACGTACTCACTTAGTAGAGTAAGTGAAATGTTGATTGATTAATTAATGAATTGGTATTTATCTTGTATCAGGGATTAGTTTAAACCTTTAAATAGTTAGTAAACACCCATTCAGTGATGAGAGTTCCATTAGGAAGACGAAGTACAAGTTTCATTTATTTCTTTCACCACGGATTAAGCTTGGTCTGCGTAATGCTAAGCGAGCTTTAAAAAAACAACAGTTACCTTTCGAACATGAAGGTCCGCGTGGTAGGTGAAGTAGAGTTCAACTGTTTCTGTGATATAAAAGGATAGTGTGGTTAGCATTATGCCTAGTCACTTTTACTCTCCCCAACGTGAGTCAGGTACCCATCAGAGCTGGGTTGGCTCAGGGACGCTTTAAGTATTGCTTTTTCCTGGCTTTATGTTTATATAACAAGATATTCTTATGATCAGTGTTTTTTTCCACTTTTTTCTCCGGGGGGGGGGGGGGTGGACACAGGTAAAAGTGTATATTTTCTATATAAATATATTTCTTTCAGGGGGAAGGGCGGTAGACGCAATGTCTGAAACTCTTATTAATGAAATATTATGAGATGTAATAGCCTCAGAAGTAATTCTCAATTAGAACCTCACTCTGCATTAATCCTTCCATGGGACTAATGAGGATTAGGTTAAAGATTAGCATGTGGGTCATGGTAGGGCTTATGTAGCTGATACCAGAATTAAAAATAACATATCCCAGTCGGGTAACATACAATTTGCTGTCCATTCGTTATTCATCTCGATTTTTTTTTTATTTCACAGAGTACCAGTTTACATTTCAACTATCACCAGCTGTTGCCAGAGTTTCCAAAGTACTAAAAATATATCAAAACATCACGTGACTACTTCCGTCATGACAGAGCAGGCCCCCTGACATGCGACGTATGAGCCTGCGCAAAAATCGACACGTGTTCGCTTCAGTGATGGCGACCTTCAGCTTCAAGACTTGCCGGAACCCCGCGGCGGTTTGCGTTTGTTTCGTGGACCTTGTGTGGCTGTTCGTCAACCATCTGTTCAACACCAAGCTGAGACGAGTGCTGCTATTGGCTGGTTTGTTTAGCGTGGTCACGTGGTGGTCGGTGAGCAGAGGCGGGATCAGAGAAGTAAGTGAAAGCGAAAAAGAAAGTAGGTTTTTTTTTGTCTTTGATGTTCCCGATGTAAACGGTTTATCCAATATGAAAAAATATGCCACGGATCATGGGTCAAGTGATTAAATATATCTGTAAGTAAAGTGCTGCCACGATTAAAAAAATAATGATACAAAAGCAGATGAAGTAGAGTTCATGTGATCTTCTGGTGATTGCTTAAAGATGGGTTTTCCCACTGTCCATCAGAGCTGTGTTTCTTCCAGGGCATCTCTTCGAAGAAGGTCTACGCCCCCCCCCCCCCCCCCCCGGAACGGAATTTATACAGAAAACATACTTTCACCCCCGGTGAAAAAAAGTCTGGATGAAACACTGGCTGTGTGGATGGACGTTTAACAAGCTCGGGCGTGGCCTCACGAATGTCCTAAAGACGGGCCATCAAAATAGCCTCGTGGACGTCCTACAGACTCGGGCCATCAATGATGCGTGGCCTCACGAATGTCCTAAAGACGGGCCATCAAAATAGCCTCGTGGACGTCCTACAGACTCGGGCCATCAATGATGCGTGGCCTCACGAATGTCCTAAAGACGGGCCATCAAAATAGCCTCGTGGACGTCCTACAGACTCGGGCCATCAATGATGCGTGGTCTCACGAATGTCCTAAAGACGGGCCATCAAAATAGCCTCGTGGACGTCCTACAGACTCGGGCCATCAATGATGCGTGGCCTCACGAATGTCCTAAAGACGGGCCATCAAAATAGCCTCGTGGACGTCCTACAGACTCGGGCCATCAATGATGCGTGGCCTCTTGAATGTCCTACAGACTGGGGGCCATCAGTGATGAATAGCCTCATGGACGTACAGACTCGGGCCATCAATGATGCGTGGCCTCACGAATGTCCTAAAGACGGGCCATCAAAATAGCCTCGTGGACGTCCTACAGACTCGGGCCATCAATGATGCGTGGCCTCTTGAATGTCCTACAGACTGGGGGCCATCAGTGATGAATAGCCTCATGGACGTACAGACTCGGGCCATCAAAGATGCGTGGCCTGACCCCTGTAGACGGGCCATCAGTTACCTCATTCTCGGCCATCATGCATCTATTCTTCCCCATTAGAATCACTAAAGCTTCATTAGGTACATCCTTATGCAATCAAAGAGGTAGACAAACGTATCGGGATATTTAGCATTTCTATCGCCGATGAAGATATCGAACCCAAAGCTACCCTAAACACGCACCCTTGATACTATCTCAACAACCTTCACTACTCAAGCAGGTCTAAACCTAACCATCACCATCATCATTGCCCGATTATTCTGCTGGGGTATGGGCCTTCAACCAAAGATCTCATAATTCTCTGTCCTGTGCCATCTTCTCAACCTGAAACCCGTGTTTGTGGTTTCAGTCTCAGGGTCCTGTCTCCATGTGATTTTGGTCGACCTCTTGTACGCTTTCCTTGAGGGTTCCACCTTAATGCCTGCCTGGTGATGTTGGTTGACTGTTTGCGCAAAACCTAACTATGTTCGTCCGCATTTAGGTGAATGTTGGGGTAGCGTGACCCATTCCTGAAAATTACAAAAAATGTTAATTAATATTGAAAATGAACTTTTCCTAAACTTACGGTCCATAGGGAAAGTGAAGTAGAGTTCACCTGTTTCTGTGACCTCGGTATGTGAAGGGATCGCTAACGTGAGTTGGGTACCCATCAGAGCTGGGTGGACTCAGGGCGTTCGACTGGCTTAAACCCGGATTCGAACTCGAGACTTAGCAGTCCAGCACTCTACCGATAGGCCTGTCCCTTCTCAGAATTAAGCTATTTTAAAATATCACTTGATTTTAATTTCAAATTATCGAATCGATTTTTTTTTTAATTTATTGGTATAACATTTGAGATGGTTTTTTTTTCTCTTATAGACGGGAGAATACTCCCGATGGCACCCTAAGGATCTACCCCGCCCTAAGACCAACGCCCAGGTCTTCCTCCCCCTCAGGGACCAAGACACCTTCATGTACTCCGCCATCGCCAACACCCACCAACCAGAAAACGGCGCCATCAACATCGTCATCACCACCCTGGACGCCGGCCGGGCGTTTCTCGACTGCTGCGTACTGCTCGACAACAACACGCTCTTCGTGACTTCCGCCGAGGAGTACTTCTTCTACCACACCATCGACGTCACCTTCGTGGCCAAGATCAGCGAGTACTTCTCCCCGGGGGTGTACCTGGCCCGGCAGTACGTCTGCTCCGTCCCGGATATCGGTCAGTCCCCCGGTCACGTGACGCTAAAACCCCAAGGCGGTGTCTGTTCCAGTGATATAAAGGATTATCTCCCTGTTGTTTACCCCGCTGTTGTTCCAGGTGGATTAGCCATCTGCGCTAAGATAGCCCATAGCGGTGGCCTTGACCCTGAGAAGGTTATTGAGTGGTTTGAGGTGCAGAGGTTGCTAGGGGTGGATAAGGTGTTGATGTTTAACATGAAGAACCCCGAGAACCTGACGAGGGTGTTCCAGTATTATCAGGAGCTGGGCGTTCTTGACCTTCAGCCGTACGAGTTGCCTGGCAACCCGGCGAATAGGACGTTGATGGAGAGGGACAAGAGGACGACGCAGGTGAGAGACAGGTGTGCAGGTGGATGTGTGTGGGAGACAGGTGTGCAGGTGGATGTGTGAGACAGGTGTGCAGGTGACTGTGTGAGACAGGTGTGCAGGTGGATGTGTGGGGGAGACAGGTGTGCAGGTGGATGTGTGGGGGAGACAGGTGTGCAGGTGACTGTGTGAGACAGGTGTGCAGTTGACTGTGGGAGACAGGTGTGCAGGTGACTGTGTGAGACAGGTGTGCAGGTGACTGTGGGAGACAGGTGTGCAGGTGACTGTGTGAGACAGGTGTGCAGTTGACTGTGGGAGACAGGTGTGCAGGTGACTGTGTGAGACAGGTGTGCAGTTGACTGTGGGAGACAGGTGTGCAGGTGGATGTGTGTGTGAGACAGGTGTGCAGGTGGATGTATGAGACAGGTGTGCAGGTGACTGTGTGAGACAGGTGTGCAGGTGCCTGCAGGTAGCTGTGTGGGTGTTAGGTGTGAAGGTTTCTGTGTGTGAGAGATAGGTGTGCAGGTAAATACCATGTGCGTGTAACTATTTGAAGTGTGCAGGTGCCTGCAGGTGCCTGCAGGTGCCTGCATGTAGCTGTATGAGTGTCAGGGAGGGGAGATTCCTGCCTTGTGCAGGTAACTGTTTCATCTGTACATGCGACGTCCTGACTGTATTATTTTACTTTCAACTATTTGACCATTATTTACTTCTGACTGCGTCTATTATAACGTAAAAAAACGTTGTTAAAAAATGTATCAAACATTACTTGCCCCAAAACAGCCTAAAGCCTGAACTTATTTTTGCGTCTTCTCTTTACATTAAGCTTTTTTTTTTACATTTTTTTTACATTTTTTTTATCACTTAGATTTTTAAATTGCTTTTGTCATTGTTTTCCTGACGATTTTTTTTAACATGGTTCAATAATATCGATCTTTTTGTGGCGGTTTTTTTTTTAAACTTGCCATGATAAACCCGGCAAAGTTATAGTTTTAAAGTGTTGTTGTTTTTTATTACTGTAAGCCGTCATAAAATCAGGTGGGGATTTATTTTATTTTTTTCTGTCGAACATCAATATTTTAACTTCAGACCATTTGCTCTTTTTTGTTGGGTTTTTTCTTTTAATCCTGTCAATAATCAGCTGAATTTAAGTCTTTCAAATAGTACAAGCCATAAGACCAAAAATAGGAATGGGTTTTTTTTTCTTTTTTTTTTTTTCTTTTTTTTTTGGGGGGGGGGGGTTCCTTTAATCTTGTCAATAATAAGCTGATTTTAAGTCTTTCAAATAGTACAAGGCACAACACGACCAAAAATAGGAATGGGGGGGTTTTTTTTTCGATTTTTTTTTGGGGGGTTTTTTTTTTCTTTTAATCCTGTCAATAATAAAATGATTTTAAGTCTTTCAAATAATACAAGCCACAACACGACGAAAAATAGGAATTTTTTTTTGTTTCGTTTTTTTAATATCCTGGCCTGATCTTTGTTTTGGTGCTATCAAAAGTTTCATTGTCGTTTGCAGCACACGTGAACTTCTCAACGCCATTGATTTTTGTTTTCTGGTCGTTTGCTAAGCTATTGTCCTACAGTGTTGTCCTTCGACGCACAGACATAAGTGAATGTGCCGCCACGGTTTTAATTTAATGCGAATGGTTGCAGACATCAGAAAACTAGTCGGCGATTTCCGGTGCGGAAGTCTTGAGTTCAGTGTTTCTTCCGGACATTTTTCTCCGGGTGGCACTTGAAATTTTCGGGGGTGGGTGGGGGGGGGGGCGGTTAACATTTATCGGGGGGGGGGGCGGGGGCGGACACTAGTAAAAGTGTATGTTTATTATATAAAATCCATCTCGTTCGGGGGCGGGGGGCGGTAGACTTTCTTCAGAGATGCCTGGAAGAACTCTGCTTGAGTTGGGTTCGTGGATGGAGTTGGGCGTGCTAGAGCAGGGGTCTCCAAATTTTTCAGTCCGAGGGCCGCATTAACTATCAAATTTCAGTTCGGGGGCCAGTTTCTTCCAGGCATGTCTTTGATTTTTTCTGCGCAAAGTTCCTCAGCCTTCACCAACAAACGTTTTTTCCGTGGACAAAAAGATCTCCACGGGCCGGATGAGAGGACCTCGAGGGCCACATCCGGCCCGCGGGCCGTAGTTTGGAGACCCCTGTGCTAGAGTATTATACCGTGTAGGGCGCCTAGTTCGTTGTATGTGGTTCTGGGTATGGTGCCCTTCATATAACGGTTATATGTTATTATTAACCTAAGCTTCGTCACAAATTATATGCACATTGTTTCACCTGTTTCTTAAGCAACGCACTGTCTTCAAATGTTAGCAGTGATTCACATTTAAGGATGATTCACATTTAAGGGTGATTCACATTTAAGGGTGATTCACATTTAAGGGTGCTTCACATTTAAGGGTGCTTCACATTTAAGGGTGATTCACATTTAAGGGTGCTTCATATTTTAAGAGTGTTTCACATTTTTAAATTATCATTTTCTTACGTTCTTTCCCAATACACATGATGCAGATGAAGTAGAGTTTATCTGTTTTAATTACCTCGGCGTGGAAGGGGTTAATGTGGTTACCGTATTTCCTTCCCTAACGTGAGTTAGATACCCATCAAAGCCAGAGTTTCTTTCAAGCATCTCTTCGATGGAGCCCCCACCTGAAGAACGTCTACCCTTCCTTCCTCCCCTCTTCCGAACGTAGAATTTATATAAAAAATATATACTTTTACCAATGCCCCCCCTCCCGAAAATTTCTAGAGCCCCGAGAAGTAAAAAGTCTGAAAGAAACCCTGATCAGAGCTGGGTTGTCTCAGGGGAGTCCTACAGACTCGAGCCCGACATTTTAATACAATACTTCACTTTTATATCTGTGCTTCGCCCTTTTTAAATGGTGCTTTTTTATGACGCTGTCCTCTCATTTTCTAATAAGTGAGTTTCTAGGTTTTTAAATGCGAGTTATAAAAAAGTTAACATTGTGTTTAGTGGGTAAATGCCGACATTAAAACAGAAACTATGGCGAATGTTAGACGTCGTAAAATTTTTAAGTTTCTGTCGAGCTCAATCCTAATCTTGTTAATATCACTGGTCGCAACCCAAGACATAATTTTAACCTTACAGGAACACCAGCAGTGTAATACCGCGTTTACACTTGCGACATGTATACTATACATTTCTAGAAAGAAAAAAACTTCGCTATAGGGCCTAAGTTAATAGGGGAGCCTACTCACTTATTGCGAAGCTGTTTTTTTTCTAACCATGTATAGTATACATGTCGCAAGTGTAAACGCGGTATAACGCTAACCTGACCCTACACATAGCGCTAACCCCATGGTTTGACCTCAGCATTCCACCTGATCCTGACTCTAATATACTGGTAGACATAGGCGTCGAGAGGCTTGGGTAGGGGGTGCGGACCGCACCAGGGGACACAATTTAGGTTTTTTATGGGTTTTTAAAGGGGTTACGTGGGAATTTATATGGATTTTTAAAAGTACTATGAGTGAATGAAATGGATTTTTAAAGGTTCTATTAGAGAACGATATGGATTTTAAAAGGCGCTATAAGGAAATCATATTGATTTTTTCTTGAAGGCGCTATAAGGGAATGACATGGATTTTTAAAAGGCGCTTTAAGGGAATGATATGTATTTTTAAAGGTGTTTCCTCACTTGCTTCAAAACACCTGACTAGCCGTTAAACACTCGTACATACAAACATATAAACACAAAACACATAGGCCTACCTTAAAAAAATTTTTCAAGCCACGACTAGACAAAACTCTCACCTTTGAAATCATATTTACTCCTGGAAGTTACGCTTTTTAACCTGGCTATCCATGGGGCGTTGAAGAGAGTTCACCAGTTTCTATGACATCGGCATATGAAGGGATAATGTGGTCGACACTATGCCCAGCCGCTTTTACTATAACGTGAGTCAGGAACACTTTAGAGCAAGATAAACTCAGGGACATCCTACGGGGATCGAAACTCGAGACTATAGAGCAGAGGCGTATCGATGGGGGGGGGTACATATGTCCCCGGGCGCCTACCCTAGCGGTCGCCAAAATGGGTTGGAAAAAATTCAAAAGCTCATTTTAGTTGCAGTTTTGCATTATAAATATAAAAAAATATATGGGGGGGGGCGCCAAATTTAAAGTTGTCCCCGGGGGTGGGGGGGGGGGCACAAAAATGAAAGTTTGTCCCCGGGCGCCGGAAAGGGTCGCTATGCCTCTGCTTTAGAGTTAGCAGTGGTAAGCTGTTGTGCTGCGAATTACTTCTACAAGGATATTTACATTTTACAAAATAACTGCGCGGTAGAATCACCGCTACTGCTCTGTCACGCATCTGCTCATCTTAAAGGGAACATCGGGCCTAACTAACCATAACAGATATATCATCAGAAGCCTGTGTAAGATAATCCATTGTCCATCCCACATGCAACCATTTTAAAGGGAACATCGGGCCTAACTAATCATAACAGATATTCCACTTGCAGTCTGTGTACGATAATCCATTGTCCATCCCACATGCAACTATTTGAATTTTATTTTTTTAATGTTTTAGTTTCACCATGATGAATCCTTGGCGGTACTTGAGTGTCGGCAAAGAATGGCAGGCTATTCATACGTCATGAGTCATGATGTGGACGAGTTCATTATTCCTAGGAGGGATATCAGCTTAAAGGAATTTTTCAAGGTAAAATATTGTTAAATCACTAAAATAAATAAGGGGCCACAGTTTGATTTATAATTTTTTTTAAAATTATTTTCAAGATATTGGGAAAAATGTATTCTATTGCTTAAATTAATTAACGGGCACGTGAAAAACACGTTGTTTATCGATAGCCGTGATTGTAAATATTATCGATCTGGTGGAATGTGCATGCCGGATTTAGACGTTTTAAGGCCTAAAAATATTATATAGCACCTAGACTGTATTACGATCTACAGATTTTTTATCGGGACAAATAATGGAGTAGTTTATTTAATTTTACGCAAGTGTGGACTGACCAGCAAGTCTACCGACCAAAATCCCGGTGGGTACCCAGGAAAATATATCGGTGGTCCCCCAGAATCGGTTCTGTAATAGCCCTATTCATATTCGTTGTTTTTTTTTTTTTTACAAATCGGAAATTACTACTTCCGGTCAACGGAAATTACTCAAAATTTGACAGATGGCAGACAATTAGATCTTTTACTTATATGTGAAATTTTGTTTATCTATCTGAAACAGTACTCAAGGTATAGGCTGTTGAAAAACCAAAAGTAGAATAAGTTCCACTTTCGGTTATCGGAAATCGCTGAAAAGTTGAAACAGAACTACAAATTTGATATAACACTTATATGTGAAATTTCATCAACCTAGCTGTAACGGTACTTAAGTTATCGTGTTCATAGACATACGTACACACATACATACACACACAGACATACGTACAAAAATATATCGGTGGGCCCCCAGAAACGGTTCTGTAATAGCCCTGTTCATATTCGTTGTTTTTTTTTTTTGACAAATCGGAAATTACTACTTCCGTTCAACGGAAATTACTCAAAATTTGAAAGATGGCAGACAATTAGATCTTTTACTTATATGTAAAATTTCGTTTATCTATCTGAAACAGTACTCAAGGTATAGGCTTTTGAAAAACCAAAAGTAGAATAAGTTCCACTTTCGGTTATCGAAAATCGCTGAAAAGTTGAAACAGAACTACAAATTTGATATAACACTTATATGTGAAATTTCATCAACCTAGCTGTAACGGTACTCAAGTTATCATGTTCATAGACACACGCACACACATACATACACACACAGACATACGTACAAAATTGCAAAACTATGATTTTCCGACTCAGGAAGGTGTAAAACGTCAAGATTTGTGACAATCTTGATTTCATTTTTTTTCACGATCACATATACGAGAAAGTAAAAATTACATTCTGGTGTTAAGGGCCCGTTTTAAAATTTCTCAGGCCTCTTGGGCACATCCATTCTATACTTGAATACACAAATGTCTATTGCGCATTCGGTAAAAAATGTCACGGGCCCCCCAACAAAATGGGGGGGGGGGAGCTAAGTTATATTTTGTTTAGCTGATACGTAAATCCGGCACCTGGGGTATGTGAAATATAGGGTACTAATCTCTCGTGATCAATTCGATCGACTGCTACTGCTGCTCTCTCAATAACATTGGACCAGATGTTTATTGTTCAGCTTATTTTTTTTTTAAATCGCAATTTGGGGTCGTAGTCTAATTTGTGTCGACATTTGAAGTAGGGTTTGACTTCTTGTGATGGTGAGGAGGGGGTTAAAATAAAATAGATTGTAAAAAAAAAAGCGTTATGTCATTCATGACCTGTCCCTTTGAGTTTAATTATTAAATGAATGAATTGTTCGTGGTATTGGTTTATAGCGCGCATGATAGACAGAGGCGTAGCGACCCTTCCCGGCGCCCGGGGACAAACTTTTCGATTTGCACCCCCCCCCCCTCAAGATTTCGATTTGCACCCCCCTCGAACTTTCGATTTGCACCCCCCTCAACCTTTCAATTTATTTTTCCAACCCATTTTGGCGCCCCCTTAGGTCGGCGCTCGGGGACATATGTTCCCCCCCCCCCCCCGCCTTGCTACGCTACTGATGATAGATGATACATAGTACAAGAATGTTGAACACAGAAGTCACTATGCAGTAAACAACATTACAACAGGGACGTTACTCTATCACTGATACGGCGCATAACTGCTATGGTTAGCTCCCCTTTTTAATATTTTAATATTGTGGGCGTCCATTAAATTATCTCATACTCATAGGGCATGAGGGGGGGGGCTGTAATTTTGTGACGACGTGTGATGGGGGGGGGGTCTGATAGCGTGACGTTACACTTTAGCGTCATAAAAAAGTAATTATAGAAACTGAATCTAGCCGTCATTTCGCGTTTTAGAAAACTGTTTTTATAAATTGTAGGCCCTGATAGAACTTGATTTAATATTCTATGTTGACCGAGCTCAGTCAATTTTTTAGACATGAATCGATGATTAAAAAAAAATTTAATGAAATTTTGAGTGGGGGTCTAGGCTGAGGTGCGACGTCATTGTAGAGAGAGAAAAAAAATGGGGGGGGGGGGTGAATCTGGCTTTTTTGACGATACTTGACGGGGGGGGGTAGGTAAAAATCGTCCAAAAAGTGTGACGTCACTTATGGATGACGCTCCCCCTCCCCCCCCCCCCCCAGACTATAAACACATTTAAAATTCTAATAAGCCGTTTTTTATTAGACTTAACCATTTTCAACTTTTAATCAGGAAAAGATGAAAGTTTACCTTTTTTTAGACCTAACCATTTTCAACCTTTGCAATCAGGAAAAGATGAAAGTTTACAATTTTTAAACCTAACCCTTTTCAACCTTTAATAAGGAAAAGATGAAAGTATATAGTTTTTAAACCTAACCCTTTTCAACCTTTAATCAGGAAAAGATGAAAGTTTACAATTTTTAAACCTAACCCTTTTCAACCTTTAATAAGGAAAAGATGAAAGTATATAGTTTTTAAACCTAACCCTTTTCAACCTTTAATAAGGAAAAGATGAAAGTATATAGTTTTTAAACCTAACCCTTTTCAACCTTTGAAATCAGGAAAAGATGAAAGTTTACAATTTTTAAACCTAACCCTTTTCAACCTTTGAAATCAGGAAAAGATGAAAGTTTACAATTTTTAAACC